TAATATTGGAGGAGCCCTAATACACAAATGAGGAATGATGATATGAGCCTGCGTCGTGTCGCGACGTTAAATCAGGCGCAGCGTGGGAGGCAACCCATGTTTTATTTTGTTTCTTTTTTTTTTGTTTTAATGTTGTACTTGATGTGTATGAAACTAACCCTTTTATTAAAAAAAATTGAAAGCTCGTGACCGCGACCGCGGTGGGACCACAGCGTGACTGCGGTGAATCGCGAGTATTATGTCTTGCCCTCCTTCTTTCACCGCAACCGCGGTGAATTCGACGATTCTGCTGCCCAGGTAAGTCCCATTAACTTTGTATTTTTTTTTCTTTTTCTTCTTTTTCTAGTCTAAAGTACCCCNCTTCTTCTTCCCATCTCTCACAAACCCACTTCTCTCTCTCTCACACACACACACACTTCTGCCTCTCTTTTTCTCAACTTCCATTACTCTCCATTTCTACAAGAACCAGGTGTGTCATGTTTTCCATCTCTCTTCTTGTACCCTTCTATTTTGCAATTTTAATGCTTGAATTGTTGTAGTATCTATAGTTAAATTTTTGGTTTTCTTTTCTTCTTTTTAGTGGGTAATGTCTAAAATGTTGTAGAGAAGGGCATGGTATTGTTATGTGAAGTTAATTGTGTTAGGGTGGAGTTATGAAGTGATAATGGTTGATTTGGGGGGAGAGTTTGTACTTTTATGGGATAAGTGTGTTAAAACATAGTTCCATGCACACCAGGTGCTTGTTGAATTGCCCCAATTGAGCTGTAATAGCTAATGTGACCATGGTAGTGGTGAAATCTGAGTAACTACCCAGGGTTCACACAACTCAAACCCTCACTAATAGTAGCCTCTGTTTTGTCAGGTACAATGCATCAGTCAAGGAAAAGACGTGCCACAGGTTCCTCCGCTAGTGGACTAAGAGGTTCATCCAGAGCTCGAGCTTAGGCTAGTGCGGACCAGTTTGACCGCACTCGGTTTGTCTCCAAAGCGGCTCAAGATAGGTTTAATGCAAAGACATACAAGAAGTTGTTGCCTGAAGTATACATTGACAGGCATGCCTTGCAAATTGAATGCTCAAGTATTTATGAAGAATTGGGGAGGCGTCAGCTGGACATCTTCTTTAATAAACCGGAAGAGGGCAATGTACTAATGGTAAGGGAATTTTATGCGAACTGCCTGGAGCATGTTGATAGGGTTGTCACGGTAAGAAATACCTGGATGCATCTCTTGAGGTCATCCGCCGAGTGTACAGGTTGCCGGTCTTCATTGGAGAGACAGATTATTACCAAGCTTATCAGCACAAACCTGTCTAGTGGTAGCCAATTTTTCAAACAATCTATGTGGCTAGCCGGGATCCAATATGGATAAAACCGAGAGTTACCCTGAACTTCCAATCTCTCACTTGGGGAAGCTAAGTATTGGCTAACGATCATCAACAGTCGTTTGCTACCATCTAGCAACACCACCGATGTTAATGGTCCAAGAGCAGTAACGATTTTCTGTTTCGTCAACCACTACGATTTTGATGTGGCCCGGCTCATTCAGGATGAAATGTTCATTCGCTATCCGAAAATACTCAAAGGGTTCTACTTCCCTTCCCTGGTCACCAAGTTGTGTCGTGCTTCACGAGTTCCTAAAAATCCCATAGTAGATGGGAAGTTGCCATTAAAATCCCCATTCAAGGCTAGCAAAATCACAGTTGGGAAAGAGCAGGCTATGGCAGATGATGATGATGATGCCGATAATGATGATGATGAGGGAGCTATGCATGTTTCTGCCCCACCAGGGAAGAGTGCTGATGAGGCGGGCCCATCACAGGCTCACCAGAGTATCCGGATAACTGCCTTGGAACAGGATATGGCTAGCCTACGCATTTCGATCACTGACCTGAGTGCTAGAGTTGACACTTTGGCCTTCTCAAAATGCTAGGTCAGAGAAAAAGATCATGGGCTGGCTTCGGGCGTTAGGACGAGCATGTCACCTCGATCTTGTCACCGTCTCCAATCAGGACTAAGCACTAGGAAAGTCCCCTTACCTTACTCTGCATTAATTTCCTTGACATGGGGACATGCCAAATATTTATGTATGGGGTGGGAGATGGTTGTTGTTGTTGTTGTTGTTGTTGTTGTACAATTGTATAAATTTGTTTGGTGTTTTTGTTGTTTGGTGTTTTTGGTTGCCGTTAATTAACTTCGACTTGGCCCGAAGATGGACACCTCTCGATGGATCTCTTGAGGGACTTAAGTCGAACAAAAAAAATTCTTCTATTTAGTAGTGTATCAACTCCCCCTTGATTTTTCTTTAAACCACGGTTCTTTTCCAAGGGTTTCTATTTGAACTGGGTGTAGTTAGTTTTTTCTTTTTTTTTCTTTTTTTTAGTGTAGGAATTTTTGGGCGAAGAATAGAAATAGGATCCCTTAACTCCATGATACCTTGAATAGAGATTGATTTAATGTGACACTTAGGCTCATTAGTTGACTCTAGAAATAAAGCCTTAAAATGTGTGTTCTTGAGTTGGCTTAAGCACCTTGAGCATAGTGTCTGATAGTCCTAACTGAATTGAGTCATGTGCCATGTATGAGTGGGGCTTTGTGTATTCTATGCTAACACTCAATGCCTATAACTTTCCATGTGTGTGTACGAAGCGAAATGATAGTCTTCATTGGTCTGGAAAGTGATATAGGCATTTCCTTGTTGAACCTATCTATATATATTTTCACCCATCTGATTGTGTATATCCTAGTTAACCCCTTTGAGCATGTAAGCTTGTTTCTTTGGCAACCACATTACAAGCCTTAACCAAGTTATGAATTATCTATCTTTTTGAAACCTATCAGCTCTTAGAAAGACTTGAATTGTAATGAATATGGAAAAGTTAAAGTATGGGGTGGTTGGTTGGGATTTTGAGTGGAGCTAATGAAATAAGGAGAAAGGTGCACTGTGTTGAGAAAAAAAAATATAAGAGCCACTTGAATTGAAAAAAATATAATATTTTCCTTGCTAAGTGGTGAATCTTGATGTAAAATGTACTTAAAGAAATAGGGGGTTTAACTCAATGATGTAAAGGTGGAATGGAGGTTTGACAAAGGTATGGGCTTAAAAGTGAAAGATGTATTGAAGTGCTTATGGAGGTGTAGTCACTATACCCATATGTATCCTACTTGTCCCATAGCCAACATTACAATCAAATAAAGTCCTACTTGATTCTAGACCAAATGAGCTCGATTAGTCGGGTATTATACTATGGGCAAGCCTATGGTACATTGTTTGTGGCATAAGAATTTCTTCCTAAGGGTGAGTGGAATCTTACGTATTTGAATTCCTCAGTGTGTGAATTACAATGACCATAACGCAAGTCTCTTTTGTGGTGAGTAGGCACGTGATTCATGAAGGGGAGGTAAGTCTGGACCTTTGACTGAGAGTGTGAAAGCCGGTTAGGGACATTACGTGGCTAGAGAGAGAGTCCACTCTTGAGGTTATGATATTATGCTAAGGTAGTCTATCTATGTGAATTATTCGTAGTATAAGGAGTAGGGAAGTGACCCAATGATGATTAGGCCTATAGAGTATGGTCTTGTTGCTAGAGGACTAGGAACAGTTTAAGTGTGGGGTGTTGATAGTAGCCTATATTATACGATGCAGATGCTATTAATGCTCTACGTTAACCATACTTTATTGATGTTTTAAGTGCTAAATAATAACAAATTGCTCTAATTGAGGTTTTTATGCTTTGCAGGAACTACTCTGAGTTAAGAGGAGGATATAGAGTGTTTTGGGGTAAAAAATGTAGATATAAGGCCAACCGAGAAGAGCCTGGATGAAAATGAGCAAGAAAAGGTGAAGAAAAACTGGGTAACTGCCGCGGCGGGAACACGGTGAAAGAAGGCGAAAAACAGAAAAGTTTAAAATGACTGTGGTCATGCCGCGGTTGTCCACCGCGACCGCGGTAGATCTGGAAAAGGCCAAGAAGTTTAAGGGCTAAAGTGTAAAGCGTGGGAAACTTATCCTAACCCTATATAAACTCAACAAACTCTCCCAAGTCAAGAGGAAGTTTGTTTTTATAATCAATTGGAGGCAAGAACAAGTGTGAGAAGATCAAGATACCATTAGAGTTTTTCATTCTTCTTCTTGTTATCATTATTTTGTGAATTATGAATGATTTTATGATTTTATCTTATTTTACCATGAGTAGCTAAACATTTAATCTCGGGTTGATGGAACCAATTATTAGATGAAGTTTTGACTCAGTTTTGTGATAATCGAGCCGGGTTTATTATATGATTGTTCAACTATGTTTTGTATGGTGATTAATTGAATGGGCACTTGATTAATCGTGTCTAATTGTCTTGTGTTACTTGAGAAAGAATACTAGGTTAGATTATTATTGAACAACACTACTTTTGAGTAATTGAAGAGATTCATTACTTGAATTTAAAAGTGGGGTTAGAGATAACGAAACTTTGGTGGGATAATTCAGAGCTACATAAATTATCAGCTAAAGTAGTTTGAGAGAATGCTCTAGTAAATTATTGTAGTTGATCGAGAGATAATTGCGGCAACCCATAGCTCATAATCCTCATAGAGTATTACGGTGAGATTATAGCAAAACAGTTAAGAATTAAACTAGCAATTGGGAAAATCAATACCCTAGATCTTTTTACCATTGAATTATCTTTAATTTAGAATATTGTTAGTTTTAATATCATTTTACTTTAGTTAAACAAATCCCAATATTTATTGATAAAAATCTTGCATCCGGAAATTGTTTGAGCTTGTACTAGCATCGCTAAGAGTTGTGATAGATAGGTTAGTTCCCTGACGATCCGACTCCAGACTTGTAAATCGGATTTTATTGACAACGACCGCTTTGTTTTTTAAGGCATAGTTGGGCGTGATCAACTTGCACAGAAGCTACTCTATTTTTTCAGTCCAAAGGTATAATTCATCAAAATACGTGTCCTTACACCCCACAACAAAATGGGGTGGTAGAAAGATATGGGATGGTAGAAAGAAAACACAAGTACCTTCTTGAGACTGCTAGGGCCCTGCTTTTCCAATCAAAATTACCTTTGAAGTTCTGGGGAGAATGTATCCTTACTGCAATCTATCTTATAAACAGGTTGCCCACTGTACTGCTCAAAAATAAGTATCCTTTTGAACTTTTATACAATAAGAAACCATCCTACTCACATCTAAGATCCTTTGGGTGCTTATGCTATCCCACTGTACCTAAAGTACACAGAGATAAACTTGAACCAAGGAGTGTTCCCCATATTTTTGTTGGATACCCTTTCAGTAGCAAATGATATAAAGTATTGAATCTCACCACTTACAAAATTTATGTTTCCAGAGATGTTGTTTTCCATGAAACTGTCTTCCTTTTGCTAGTCCATAGTCACATGTTTCTCCTTCTCCATCCTTTGTTCCTTTCCTAGACTCTCTTGACACCACCAATACTCCACTTGTTCCTCATCCTGACTCTTTTCCTTCTCACTCTCCTGATTCCTTTCCTTCTCTCTCTCCTGAATTACAATCCTCCCATGCTTCTCCATCTGTATCTCCACCACCTGCTTCTTCATCTGAATCTCCACCACCTGAGCATGCACCTACACTTAGGAGATATCAGAGAGAACATCACCTGCCTTCTCACTTACAAGACTATGTTTGCTTTATCCCCAAGTTAAGCTCAGACATTCCTGCTACCTCATCCTCATCTCTTGCTGCTTTATTTTCTTTGCATCATATTTCACCTGAATCCCTAGTTCATGATAGTCATTCATTTGTGATGAATGTTTGAAATATTAATGAGCCATACTCATATGAGGAGGCAACACTTAGCCCAGCTTGGCAGGCTGATATGACTCAAGAGTTTGAGGCACTGCATGTCAATCATACCTAGGATTTGGTTCCATTACCTTCAGGAAAGAAGGCCATTGATTGTAGGTGGGTTTACAAGGTGAAACACAAAGCAGATGGGAGCATTGAAAGGTTCAAAGCAAGACTAGTAGTCAAGGGGTACACACAACAAACTGGTGTGGACTATACTGAAACTTTCTCACCTGCTGTGAAGTTAACTGCAGTTAGGGCTCATATTGCCACTGCAGTAAAGAGGAAGTGGATCATTTCTCAACTTGATATCAATAACGCTTTCCTCCATAGGGACTTGCATGAGGAAGTCTACATGGAAATTCCCCCAGGCATTGAGGTGCCCACTCCATGTGTTGTTTGTAGACTGAACAAATCTCTCTATGGGTTGAAGCAAGCTAGTAGGCAATGGTATGCCAAGCTAGCCGAGGCATTATACTCCAGAGGCTATGTGCATTCCCTCCATGATTATTCCTTATTTTGCAAAAGAACAAACTCCTCCACTATGTACATAGATATCTATGTTGATGATGTGCTTATCATAGGGACAGACATGGAAGAGGTCAATCAGTTGAAAAGTTTCCTACATAATACCTTCAAAATCAAAGATATGGACAAATTACATTACTTTCTGGGCTTAGAGGTTATTTATAAAACCGATGGGGTTCTTATCTCACAAAGAAAATTTGCTCTTGATCTCCTCAAAGAATATGATTGTATGTCCTATAGTGGACTGTCATCCCCCCTTGATCCCTCTATTCAGTTGCAGGCTAAGGTTGGTGCTGTCTTGAATGACCCCACATATTATATGAAGGTGGTTTGAAAGCTGAACTTCCTTACTAATATCGGGTTGGACATTGCTTATGGAGTCCAACACCTTAGACAATTTATGCAGGACCCCAGGGAACCTCATCTTAAGGTTGTTTTTCACTTGTTACGATATCTAAGAAGTGACCCTACACTAGGAATCTTCTTCTCTAATGATCCAGACTGCACTACTCAGGCCTATTGTGACTCTGATTGGGCTGCTTGTCCAGACTCCAGAAGGTCAGTCAGTGGCTACATAGTTCTCTTGGGAGATAGTCCCATAAGTTGGAAGTCCAAGAAACAAGAAACTGTCTCCCTTTCTTCAGCCGAGGCATAATATAGATCTCTCCGAAAAGTTGTTGATGTACTCACTTGGTTGTACAGATTACTCGAGGAGCTGGATGTCCCATTTCCAAAGCCTATCACTATTTTTTGTGATAGATAATCAGCTCTCCATATAGCTAGAAATCCTATTTTCCATGACCAAGCACATTGAGGTGGATTGTCATTTTGTATGAGCCAAACTTCAAGAAGGGTTGATCAATTTGACTCATGTTCCCACTCATGCTCAAGTGGAAGACATCCTCCCAAAGCCTTGACTGGAGTTAAACATTGTGGGGTTCTCAGCAAGTTGTCAGTGCAGTTCTCACCTCCAACTTGAGGGGGGGATTGAGCTTTATGTATTTATGTATTAGTAGTGATTAGTTGTAACTAATACATTAGTCAGTTAGAAGTAGTTATGGCATGAGGTGAGATACACTTGTGTCTATATATACATGTATATATCTGGAACCTTCCACACATAATGTGAATATACAATACATTTTCTGTAGCTCTCTCTCTCATCTTTTTTCATGGAACTCATCACAGAACTCCATTGTTGCTCACCTTGAGCTCTCATCATCTTGACAGAGTGCCCATTAGAATATTACCAAATATCCCTTCGGTTCATATTATCTGTCATGATTTTCTTATACACATTTCTTAAGAAAAATTAATTAAAATGAGATTTTGACTATTTTTACCCTTATTTATATCTTAATATTTAATTTTTCTTTATTGATATTTGAACAAAGTTATCTATAATCAAGTGTTTGTATTTTGGAGTTAGAACTTTGCCATTGCACCAAGATAGCGACGAAAATCTTTTTTTACTTGAAAAAGTTCCTAAAAGTTAGTCAAGGCGTGTGTGTCGAGGTTAACACTTCTGATATATGAATCATACTTTATGCATCCTACTGGACACCGCACACACTTTTTACTTTTTAGTATAACGAAATACAATTTATTTAAATCGGTGTAAAGAAGAAAGTCTATTAATGATAATTCTGTAATGTAATCCTAGTTTGTTGGCTCCCTCTCTTTCCTTTGTATTGGCCACTTCTTTGAGAACATGAATAGAAAAGGGTTTTATTGTGAGTACCATACTAGGTCTTATTGCATAATTATCAAGTGCAGTACCTCTCTGTTTCACGATTCCTAATCTTAGAGCAGTCACAATATGTGTCAGTACTCTAACCCTTTGTTTAATGCTTCCTCTATTAAGACTCTATTTTCATTTGAATTTTACTTTGTGTTTTGTACGAAAATACTATTTTAGATGTTTAGTTTGTGACTTAAACATATTTTCTATGTATTAAAATGATAATCTTAGCAAGTTGGATAACGTTTTGATGAAACTTTTTAGTATAAAAATTGATACAAGGAGTGTCAAAGGGGCGGTTTGAGTTAATTTTGGGCAGGTCAAAATGGGTTGGGCGCGTGAATGACCTGTCCAAAAGTGACTTGGGCTGAGATACTGGGCTAAAATTTGGCCATTGTCCGTCTCATCCAACTCTTATCAAGCTTTAATTAATGTGTGTTATTTTTTAATGAATTGCTTATTTATCAAATAAGACTTTATTCTTTTGTTAGATGAGCTGGTCAAAATGGACAGGTCAATGAACGGCCGAACCTTGAGCGACTTGGATGGGGTAAATGTATTTGGGTTTAAATTGCCACCCATAATTCATACTAAAATCTTAGGAGTTGAGATGATTGTGGCTGCATCACTTTTTCCCAATCCAACTTGTTTTGATTTGGCTCATTTACTGTTATAAATTTTATCAGTTGTTTTTCTTCAGATCATTCCTTGACAATTGGATTGAAGTACAAATATACAACGTAGTTAACTTGATATATTTAAAGCTTTTTGTCAAGATCTCTGAAATTCTTGTAGGCCGCACACTGGTGGAGAAAGTGAAAGGAACCTCCTCTCGAATTAAATTTCTTGTGTAGAGAACTTAAACTTATTATACATTTTTTGTACAATCCCTTTAGAATTTGATTTCAGATGAGTGATATATATATATATATATATATATATATAGCTTCCACCATGTGTTCGATATCTGCACTGGGGCTTCATATAATTTGGATTCGCATCACATAAGGCTCATTAAAGATAAAAACGTTGGCTTATCCATCCCACCACAATCTTCAGCCGTTCATATATGCATCTTCAAGTTAGTTACAGAGAGATGAAGGGGCTACTTCAACTCTTTAGTCGAAAGGAAAATGAGATCATACAATCAGTTGATTGAGCTGAAACACAATAGCATAGTTATTGCATATTCACCAGGTTGATTCATTCAACGATTTCTAAGGACAAAATATAAGTCGCTTTATTTGATGGAAATTCTGTATACTTTATATATAGGCTGGCTATCTTTAAATTGGCCATCGAAAAGAAGTAGTGCAAAATTCTTTGAAATTAATAACGTAGCAGCTATAAGTGGAAAAACAAGCACCAAACTTTTCTGTCACTTTCATTTTATTACCAATTTATTGCTGTTTTTGTAGCTCTTCTTGAGTAGGACCAAACTAGATGGTCCACATAAGCTTGATCTACTAATACTATATATCTTCTCATTACAAGCAGAGAGTATAGTTGCATTGCAATATAAGATAATTAAATTTATGGAAACAAACACCTATTTTCATGTGGTAAACTGCAAGAAAATGAACAAGTCAAAACGCTTTTTTCTCTAGGAAGGATGCATCGTGGACTTTGATTGTTTTAATTCTATTAAAACTATTGCTTATGGAGAAGATTCTGAAGAATATTTGATAATATACCAAACTACCCGTGCGTTGTGTCTTCAACTAACAAAAAGGATAAATTACAAAAAGAATTCAGGCATGTTATTTGCAAGGCAAATAAGGCTTACGCTTCTTTTTGATAACCGTGGTATTCGAGTCACCTTACGCGTACATCGACTAATTTTATGGAATACAAGTTATATTTATTTTGGTTCTCAACAATTATTCTTTCTATTATTTTGTTTATGTTAGAGTAGGTATCAAGAATAGCTTTGATTTCATACACAAAAAGAATCTATACAACTTGGGAAAGTGGTTTAAAATTCAAACATATAGTTAAAACCCACACCTGGTTATCTTCAAATTTCGAATATTTGGTTATGTATTTAATTTTTACAATAGCAAGATAATTTAATTTATATATTGCTGTAGTTTTACCAATTGTAATAGGCCACTTTATTATGTTTTATAGGTAATAAATTTATATTGCTGGCTTAAAATTAACATTCGAGTAACGGGATATATAGTTAAAAGTTTTTTGCATTATTTGTATATAAAAGTTAAACTTGTTAGTTATTCAAATTCAGAACGCTAAGTCAAGATTATGTCTAAATACATTTGGCTTAATTAATACAATATCCCTACAAAAATTTAACTTATCATCCAACTGTAGCCTGCTATAATGCTCGGGAATTAAATGCCAATCATATTGGTATAAGTTGAAAGTGAAGTCCGGTTGTCTATGGGGTTTCCAACTGTATAAAGAGAATATTCACCACCACACTTTTCTGTGATTATAATATGATAAACAATTGTATTGTACTTTTCTTTTTTAAATTCTATGGGTATTCTGTTGCAGAAGTGACACTGGAATAGTTTAAAAGAAGACAATTTCTTAATTTTGTGAACGTCTAAAAAGTTCAATCCAAATTACTCCTTGATAAAACAACAGAATTTTTAAAATTATCTTTGTATTCAATCTCGACATGAACAATCATTATATATATATATAGGCGTAATGACTTGCTGGTCACTTAAACTTGTAGAGTTTTTGAAAGCGGATACACAAACTTTTGTATTTCTCATTTAAACACTCAAACTCGTGAAATCTATAATTAATAAACATATTTTACCCTTGACCTTATGCGCGTGTATTACACATTCGCCAACGTGTCCATCCAGTCAACAAATGACCAATGAGACTGGTACACATCAAGGGCGCGAAATTAAACCCCAACCGATTGGGGCCCCCCCTCTTTTAATCAGTACACCGACAAACCCTCCCCCACTTTTCGTCTCTTTTCCTCTCTCTAACCAACCCTCCCCTCTTAAACCTAGGTTAAGCAATGGCTGAAAATTAGTCACCCCCTACTAAAATAAATCTTAATCACTCCAAAACCAACCGATTGGGGTCCCCCCTCTTTTAATCAGTACACCGACAAACCCTCCCCCACTTTTCGTCTCTTTTCCTCTCTCTAACCAACCCTCCCCTCTTAAACCTAGGTTAAGCAATGGCTGAAAATTAGTCACCCCCTACTAAAATAAATCTTAATCACTCCAAAACCAACCGATTGGGGTCCCCCCTCTTTTAATCAGTACACCGACAAACCCTCCCCCACTTTTCGTCTCTTTTCCTCTCTCTAACCAACCCTCCCCTCTTAAACCTAGGTTAAGCAATGGCTGAAAATTAGTCACCCCCTTCTAAAATAAATCTTAATCACTCCAAAACCAACCGATTGGGGTCCCCCCTCTTTTAATCAAAAGCTGATCGAGCTTCGATTGGTCTGAGCTTTCGATTTCAGTCACGTTATAGGCTCTGAAGGTTAGTTTGTTTCTTTTGATGTCGTTTTCTTTTTTGTCTTCTAATTTCTTGTGAAATAATGTGGGTTATGTTTGATAGTGAAAGCTATTTTTGTCTGCATGCACAATTTTTCATCTGTTATAGTGGAAGCCATTTCGCCTTTTGGATTTTATATTGGGGATTTTATATTTGGGGAAACACTCGAATATTCACTCTTTTTTAGGGGTTTTGTCTTTTTTATGACTGATCTGACATTTGAGGTTAAAAAATTAGGGCTTTTGTCTGCATGCACAAATTATGGGATTTTATATTAGGGTTTTGGGAAAACAGTCGTATGTTCACTTTATTTTAGGGGTTTGTCTTTTTCATGAGTGATATGATATTTAGGGTTAAAAAATTAGGGATTTTCATGAGTGATATATAGATGTGGCCATCAACATAGAATCCAACTGTTGAGCCTCCTGTAATTACCAAGATGCCTGGTAGACCTAAGAAAAATAGAAAAAGAGCTCAAGATGAACCTAAAAAGAAGTTTGGTAAGAGATCAAGGAAAGGGACATCAATGACATGCTCTAATTGTAAGACAATACGCCATAACAAGAAGGGGTGTCCTATCCTGGTAATGTTCAATTTGTTTCTGATTGTGTCTTGTACTTTGGTTGTTTCTATATCTCATTTTATATTTTAAAAATTTCAGAAAGGACAAGGATCTGGAACAACATGAACCAGTAATGCTGGTGCTACTCAACCATCACAGGCTGCTCAAACAACAACTCAACAATCAGGTCCTACAAGTGATTTTGGAACTACCAGGGCCAGAAATACTCAACCATCAGCTGTTGCAAGTGCATATGTAAGTATTCATTTTTTACTTTAGTTAATCTATATTAGGACCATAATTTTTAAATTAGTAGATAGTATTTTACCTTACATCAGGATACTGGAAGTATGAGATCAAGAATTTCTGAGGATATTATAGCTAGTGTTAGAGGAAGGCCAAGAGGTAGTGGACTTCGAGGAAGACCAAGAACTACTGGATTGGTATATTGTTTAATGATACAGGAACAGTGATAGAAAGGGTAAGATCATTAAGGATTTGGATTTTTATTTATATATTAGTAGTTTGGGTACTAATTTGGCTTCCTATGCAGTGTGGAGCAAGAGATAGGGTACATTCTGCTCCTACAAAAGTAGTGGATGCTGGGCAGACCAATATCGATCTTGGATACAGTGCACTTGGACTAAGGTGGCAAGGAAGAAATGCTATATCACAAAGGCAACTTCAACAACAGTTGAGGAGAAGACAAACTCAAGCAAGCCTTAGCCAACCTCAAGTCCATTCTTCATCTCAGCCAAGCCAGTCTCCATGTCCAAACTTGAGCCAATCTCAGCAAAACATCAACCAATCTCAACCTTGAAGACGACTGAATGTTTGTTTTTGTGATAACTTAAGTCTGTTAGTTGCAGAACTTAATTTGTAGGTTAACTTAAGTCTGTTTAACTATGACTTTTCTTTTGGAACAATGTTTAAACTATTTCTGCTACTAGACAGCAGTTCAGTGCTAATTTTGTCAACCAAGAAGGCTGATCGAACTTGGTTGTTTATATATGTGTGCTTGTTTATGTTAAAAAAAATTTCATTCCACAAAAAATATATCATTCATTCTGTCATTAGCATTGTACATAGGGTTATGAAGACACTCATTAGTGCTAACTACACTAAGAAGAAAATTACAATTATTAGTGCTACTACAATAACTAAAGTTACAATGATCTTCACCCTCTTCCTATGCTGTAGTCGATCTCTCTCTCTAATTCTTGATAACAGCCCTGAAATCACCTGTTTATAGTGATATAGAAGAGGTGGGTCAAACCATCTAAAAAAATTACAAGAATCGGTTCGACCATAGTTTGAGCACCTATAAAACCTTCTTCATGGATTTGTTGGCTTCCAAGTGATGCAAATAAGAGCTTCAACTCCACAATGACAAAATACAGGACTTTGATTCATTATCACAGTCTGTAAAAAGAAAAAGAAATTAAAGAAAGCTTCGGATTTTAAGAAATATGAAGGAATGAAGTTTCAAATGCATATAATAGAGAGATAATGTGTTTTACATTGAAGGAATAAGAACCCACTTAAATAGGCCCCATTTTGACCTTTGGGCGTTGGGAAGGGGGCTCTCACGCTCCTAAACGTCATGACACTCACGCAGCAGGCTGACTAGGACCAACTGACGCCACATGGGATGGGTCAACGATCAAATGTGTTTATTAGTTATAGGTTTCACGAGTTTGAGTGTTTAAATGGGAAAGACAAAAGTTTGTATATCG